GTATAGCACCCGACTTCCTGTAACAACTTTCGATAAAAAACTGAAAGTCACAAAAAAAGATGGTTGACGAGGAAAATATTGGAAGGCGAATAACAAAAAGACGCACTTGACAGACCCTGAGAGAAACAGCTTCAAGGTTCAAGCCGCGACAGTTGAGCAACGGCAGAGCAGTCGGCCCACGGGTCAAGATGACACTACCGCGCTCACAACACCCTATCAAGACGTGTAGGCAAGTAATCGCAGAATATGTAGCTCACCAACAAAGCAAATGCCAACAGTGTTCCTGTCAAGACAAGTTTGACAGTTCGATTGAGTACCCTTGTAATCAATTCTACTATTCTTGTCCAGACACGTTTGACCTTCCGATTGAACGTACCTCACAATCGACTTTAGTAATCTTGTCAAGACAAGTTGGTTATTCCATTGACCACATTCATCTTACAATCGATTTTGCGCACTTACAATCAATATCCATATTCTGTGTGGAAAATGACGATAGACGGTCCAAGGCAGAGCTGACCGTCCGTTGGTATTTTCCCAAAAAGGGTTTGTTTGTGTTTTTGAAAGAGTTGTGGCATCCGTTTGCTCCTCTGCGTCTCCTTCACGAGGCGAGGCACCAGACACTAATGCTCAACTTTTCCCACACTAAAAGAGTCTCATCGACCTTCGACTCCCTAAATCGCCCTCTTCCGTGACGACGTCAGACGTGTTCCTGCTTACTATTTGGTTTCCGTCTCACCAAAAGGAATAGATCGCATATAGCCATTTTTGGGAAGAAGGTGGAAGAAATCGCCAAAATGGACCCATGACTCTCCCGCACGGCATTTGGAAGAATTTGAGCGGACAGGTAGGTGGCCATGTTTCAAGTCTAGCAGGTCTAGCAACACTACCGACACTATCGACCACCTGGAGAGGTTCTCGAAAGGGTTTGTGAGGGGATTTTTTCAGAGGTCATAAAACTTTGAAATTAGTACAGCGTGACAGTTGACTCTGGCTCGAAGAGTAACGACAACTTGTTACTTTTACTTGATACTTCTTCTCTAATCTGCTACTTAATACTATTACTTTAAGGCTGGTGTCAGAGTCCGCGATCCTTCGGCAGTTTCGCTAGGCGATTCACGCGACGGGTCACAAGAAATCGCAAGTGTTCCGATCAATACTGCAAGGTACTCTCTCAATCCCGCGCCACTTCTGCTTGATGGTGATGGCTGAATGACGATTGTTCATGATTCTACTTGTTTCATATTCAAAGTTTCAAATGTTCAAATGGGGCACCTGCGAGTTGCGAATCGCGCGAACCTGGAGGAATCGCAGACTCTCAGCCCAGGCTACTTAACCCATAACGGACGGCGTGCGCCACAAGGTGGCGCACGATTATTTCTTTTGTTTTTGGAATGTTTCTAGCAATCTTAATATACCCATATATACTCTCAGCAAT